TCTGTGGAGATTACTTGAGTCTTCTGGTATAACAATTTGAGAATAAGTATTATAGTTTATTTTCAATCTATTTTCATTATATATGTCCGCTCTGTTCTCTGTTCATTGACGTTTCAAACTGAGGTAACTCTTTTAGGTGCTACTATTATTACTCTTAGATTTTTTTCTTTACCCTCAAGCATTTCCTCAATAAATTGCAATGATGGCATGGCAGAAGGACAACTTGATTTTATTATTGATTCCAGGAGACTCTGAAATTAACTTTGGCTTGAAGAAGTGAACTAAATGCATTTGGGGAAGAAGAACCTGAAATGCTTCTTTCCCAAACCTCCTGTGAACTGTGGAGCTATAACACTGCTTTGGCCCAAAACTGTGGCCTTATGACAGCAGCTTTAGCGTGGATTAAATGAGACACTTGGATCTGTCTGTAGTTTTTCGTGTACTAGAGCTTGCGTGCTTCAAACTAAGATCCATGTGGGTCTGTCCAGCTTTGTACAAGGAGCTGCATCCAGTATATATATCTACTTTCAGCCCTGGATACAGTCCTACTTGAATAACTACCTTCTGTATAGTAACCTTTTGACCCTATGGTAACTCACATTAATACATTGCTGTTTTTTGCCAAAGGGTGCATTCTTGAAATCAGTGCACAGGAGTTAAGAGGCTCTGTTTTCCTAAGAAAAAAGTATACATCTGTTTGTTTCAAGTTGTGAAGCAGGGTGTTTCAGTATGAAAGTTGTCTGTATTTATTATTTTGATGGATATACTGGTAGTTGCTAAGATAAGATACTGCTTGACTGACTTTGAATTAAAATAAACCATGCAATTATTTCAACAATTAACTATACAACGTCACACTCACACTACTATTTACTAATACATGTCCTTCTGCGCAAAAAAAAAAAATCTGAATGAAATTTAATCCAAAGGTAGATGTTACATAAGATAAATACATCTCCTAAATCACGCACTGTAGCTCACATTGTTGTTAGCAACCCATAAACAGGAAAAGCATTCGTGTGCTTGCTTTAATAGTTTTCTGTATCCTGCTATTTTCAGCCCTTTATAGCAAAACAGTTTATGTGAAAAATTGCCAATTGTGTACGCCAATCACGTAGCATTAGAAAACTCGATTCTTTTTGTATTGCAATATGAGGGAGTTAGAGTAAGGCTAGAGAAGACTGAAGAGATGAGGCCTGCTGTAAGGTGTCTGCAAGGAATGTTGTTTAACCTGTGTTGTTGTACTTGGCACAGCTGATCTGTGTATAGTTCAGATAAGTTTAGTGCTTTTGATGAAATCTGTTGTTTAAACTAGAAATTACGTGATCACCATGATCTTTTCCTGTATAGCCAGGAAGGAGAAAAGCATCTTGTAATTTGTTTCAGTTCCACACCTACCTTACAATGGTTTTATTAAATCCGTACTTTGCCGAGTTTGTTTACAAGAATGTTGCGCGGGCCGTGCCACTGAGATGTATCCCAGTTCTGCTCTATCAGAAAGACCTACTACACTGGTGCAGAGAGAAGCAAAGCGAGTTTGTTGTGCTTTGGTGTTGCTCCTTGCATATCTGCTGCTAGGTACTACTATATGTTCTTAGCATAATTTGACTTTGCTTTCTTGAAATTGAAGTTGGGCTGGCTGCTATTCAGTTTCATGACATATACTCTCTCTTTCTTCTCCTCTAGAGCTTGGCACTATTTTGCCCACTTGTGGTTTTCTGGGATTTTGTGTGTTCTCTCTCGGTCCTCCGAGGTAGTTGCTGACATTCTGAGATTATCTTGCAGATCTTAAATTACCGGACTTTAACAAGACCAGTCCACTGGAAAACGTGGGGGTGTGTGTATGTGTTTGTTTTAGTAGCTTGTAACTACTTTCCTATTCCAGCCTGAATATTTGCTCCTTTATTGTTGACAATTGTCAGTCATCTGGTCGCCTCTGTTAGTGAAGACTGGAGTAAAAGATGCAGGCATCACTTTTCACTTTTTCAGTATGATCTCGTACTTTTCTTTCTTGGAGACTGGCACACTCTCTTTACTATTTTTACTTTTTACTATTAACATTTTTTTGCAGTGCCTGCTTGTTAGAACTGGTAAGGAGAATAAAAGTTAAGTCATACTATGTTTTGTCAGTATATCGGAACCACAGTTTGATTCCCCAGTTGAATCCAAACATCTCTGTCACAACCAGTTGTCCGATAAGTGTTTTGTGTCTTCAGATACAACACGTGTGCGTGCTTTCTGCATTTAAAAGGTTCATAAGATATTTATGTCCATGGAAACAGGCAGATAGAGCAAATTTGTTCAAAATATGTTTTGATACTGAAACATTGACTCCAGATAAATTTAAAATTAAATCCTTAATATATTTGCTTTTACGGTTTTTGTACTCTGAACTTGGAAAGAAACAGATCCTTGTTATGTAATTTATGGATCTGCATTGTCAAAATGACTTTGTTGTCTGTGTGTAAATGTTGAATAGTAGTTCTTGTGTATTGAAATTCATAATGCTACTGGGCAATCTTCCAGAGAAATGTAGTTTCTTCAAATCTTTACCATTGATTTTCTTTCCCCAGCCCTGTGGCTCACTGTTACTCCTAAGAATAGAGAGATGGTTGGTGGGGTGGGATTTTTTTTATCTTCTGTAAACATTTCAGGGCTCTTAGGTGTGTTTCTTGTTTCTTTTTTTTTTTTTTTTGATAATGACATGAAATGGGGGGAAAAAAGGCAGATAAGGAGTAGACTTTGAATATGTTAATGATGACTTTGGCTTAGTGAGTATTTTTAAAGAATTGATTGTTGTGCCTAGATGATTAGATATTTTTGCTCATTTGCACTATCCTTGTGGATGTGCTAGGTATCTTCAGAGGTGATTGGGCAAGACTCCTGCCTCAAAAAGATTACATCTGTTTTGGCAAATGTCCAGGACTTTTGATGCGATTGTTTAGCCTTCCTGGCAGACGTTGCAGAATGCAAACTTGACTGAATTGAGTGTTCGTCCGATTTTATTGCAGAGTTATCCAAATGAATGTCAACACAGCTCAGAACAAAGTAAGCTAATTTTTCAAATAACATGAAGAGATGTGGAAAGCCTTTATAATCTTTTCCGTAATCAGTGCAACTGTATCTGATGGCACTAGCCATGATAATCTTTTAGGAGTTTTATCTTCTCATTTAACTGTTTCTGCTAATTCTTTTAATGCTACAAATTATGGGTTGACAGTGATGCTCAGTAAGCAATCTTGTTTTCATCTCAAAATTTCAGAGAGGGGGTTCTTCATGGCTCCCTGCTTTATCTGCTTTCTGCTTCTGTAACTTACTACAGAAGTATTTTTAGAAGTCCAGAGATACTTTCTTCATGCTTACTAGTCAGAAGTCAGAATTCTACTTCCTCAGTCTATACTTTGTTCCGTCTTCTGCACCCTCTATTCATATTGGTTTGACATCTTCTGGAGACATAGAACTGAAAGAGCCTTCCTGAGTGAGCCAATCCAGGTCCCTGTTGCCTTGAGCAATCACACACGCACAGACGCCCCTCTGCCCTGTATAGTACTGTGGTTTTGGCTTCATCTTTGTCCAGTGTTACAGCAATCTGAGAATTCTGCTAATTTGGTTTTACAGACCAGCCGTAAATGCTATGGTTTAAGCGTTATTGTTGTCATACAGTTTACGTCGTCTTTCCTTGCTTTACAGCATGCATACTGTACACCTGATCTTGCTTTGGAAGAAATGATTTGTACCACTGTTTTGTCAGTGTGTTGTTGCCCAAATTTATTTCCATTCCATACAAACAGGCTGACTTGTTTTAGCAGCTGGCTAGCAGCGGAATTGCTGTTCCGGGTGATAGGAGGTTCTTATTTAAGAAATCAGTGACATACCATGCCTACCTGTATCTGTTTCGAGTTTTATATCAATTTCGTTTTGTAGCATTTATCATAACTTATAGCCTGTGTTAAGTTTTTGTGGATTGATGCACCTCATACGTAGAGTTCTCAATCGCTTACTTAATTGGATTTTATGTACAACGGTAGATAGTTGTCTGCCTTAAAAGCAGACCGACTGCTTGTGTGGTATGAAAAAAGGCAGTGGAGCGTAGTACGCAGGAAGTACTGATGGGCTCCGTGCTGTATTGTAGCAAAAAATCTTGTCCTGACACAAAAAGCCTATGCTGGAACACTTCTCCATTCTGTCCTGAAGGGTGATGACTTTTTCATATTTATTAGTACAGATGGGTTTGTGTTGAGGGGCCAGTGAGTGCTATCTGTATGCTCACACAGTACTATGTATTTTATCTTTCATGAGCTGAGTAGTTTGTGTCCAAATAACAGTATTTTTCTCTAGTTTTCTAAGGTATAGATCTGGAAGATATAATAATTCCTCCTTGTTCAGACCACAGATTTTATATATTATATCTATATTTGCATGTATTTTATATACACTTATATACATGCATACATGCGTGTGTAAGCAGTAAGTATAATGTGAGTAATTAATATTTTCTTACTTTCTGTAGCTAAGGTATCCGCAGGATAAAAGTTCTTGAATAACAACTTAGTTATTTAAAAACATAAGTTATATTTTGCCCAAGTTAGCCACAGCTCGCAGAAGCAGTAAAGCCCACACATGAGTAATATTCCTTTGATTTGTCTCACTGTAGGATTGCTGTCTGACTGAACAGACTATCACCAAAGGTGAGAAGTTCCTCTCCCAGTTGGCAGTGGGGCTAAAGCCTGTATGGGCATTAAGGTGTAGAAGTTTATGCTATGTCTCTTTTTTCCTGAGATAAATGTTGATCTAGTTGAAGCGACTTTTCACCTGTTTGAACACCAAAGAGTATTCAAATAGGACCTGTTGCAGTCACCATTAATACAGGCTTAATTTAAATCACATCTTAGAATTAGACACGTTTGTTCACCTTATCTGTCATCTGAAACTGCTCAGCTGTAGACGTTCTTGTTTTCCAGTTAATTGTGTTTTTTCAGTCGTTCAATTCTTTGTTTTAGGAGGTCTCTGCTGATCCCGCTGGAAATCTCACAGCTGCTGAAGAGAGAAAGGAGAAGGTGCCAAGCCCACATCTCAGTCATCTCGTGGTTTTGACATCTGGCAATTCGCTCTATGGTTTGGCAGAGAGAGTGGTAGCCACAGAATCCTTGTAGGTTATTTACTGTACACCCTATCTTTGTGGTCTCTTGAAGCTATGTATTGTTTAAGAGGTTATGATTGCAAACTGAAACCTTCTTGAGAGGTCAAAAATTCCTGTATCTGCATGTTGTTGTAAAAACGAATTTGAGAGGTAATTTTTTGATCGATAGGTAGTAGGATCTGACCATCTGGTCTGACCACCTCTAAGTACAAGCAATAAAATTTTACAGTGGCTGGGCCAGTAATTAGTGGCAGTACAAAGCCAGATCTATCAAGAGGGGGGAAAAATATGTGATATTAAAGAAGCTAATGGGATTATTTAACCTGCATGGTTCACTCAACCCTTTTAGTAAGTACTCAGATACTGAGCTGAGACTCATAACTGCTTAGTTTACATTGGTTTGGGACTTTCTTTGCAGCATGTGGAAGTTTACCTGTGAAGAAGAGATTCTACTGAAAGAAGTGCAAAACTCTTACAAAAAGTGATTTTTACTTCATCAGAATAATAATAAGAGTCAGAGTGCAAATACTTTTTTAAAATGGATCTTCTAATCTTTAACAGTGTTTGACAGTCGCGTTTCAGCTTGGTTAGAAATATGTTACTTTGTTATTAATAAATCCTGCCCCCTGAGGTAGAAATTGATCTGGTAGTCTAACTTTAAAAGATTCAGTGGTAAATATCTAATCAAGTAAAGTTATTTTGGAATCCTGGTACTGATTTATTAACGTTAGTGTTGACTGCCCTGCAGTATGGAAGTTACAGAACGCTTTTCCACTGGCTTTCCTAGACTTTGGATCAGACTTCTGCGTATATTCTGAGTTGCACAGCAATGCCAGTAGTTTTTATTGAAGCCATAATCTCTTTATTCAAGCATTTTTTTTTGTTTGCAAACACTTTAAAATTGTCAGAATTGAGAATACATGTTATGCTGGCATAAAACTGGTACAGTTCTTTTCTTGATACATCTTTCCAAGGTTGCATGTCATTATCGTTATCAAAAACATTAACCACAGAGGAAAAGAAATATGGAGACATCCCAAGAGTTGCATTTAGCTCACAGTGAATTTTCTTTGCTTTCAAAGGGTATTTTTGGCTGAGCAGTTCGAGTTTCTTCAGCCTCATCTTGATGCAGTGATGCCAGCTGCCAAGAAACCTTTTCTTCAGCAGTTCTATTCTCAGGTTGGAATTATGTAATTCACAGCTGATTTTTAAATAGAAGATTTGAAACTTGTGCAGTATGGTGTGAATTTTTGTACACTATTGTAGTATATCGCTATTATTAGCCAGAAATTGACAGAATTGAATTTTATTTATATTCTGTTTTAGACTGTGTCAACTGCCAGTGAACTACGCAAACCAGTTTATTGGATTGTCGCTGCTAAAGCCATTGATTATGAACAGATGCTGCTTCTCATGGCTAATGTGAAATGGGATGTGAAGGAAATCATGTCACAGCACAATATATATGTAGATGCTCTTTTAAAGGTGAGTACTTTCCAGGAAATGGTGCGCTACAGCTTAAACATTACGTTGCTGTAATACTTCACTAAAACTGTTAAAGCAGCATGGTTAGAGCAATATGGTGTCCTAACAAATAGTAAGTTATTGTAAGGAGGTCCATTCAGAATTTTCTTTTATTCTTGATACTACTAGAATACAGTAAGCCTCAGGATATATATGTTGTTGAGAGTTCTGTGCTTGTTTTCAATGCTGATAGTGTTTTGTTTTTTTTTTGACTGCTTGGGTGAAGGTGACCACATGAGTTTAATGAGTTTCATGTCTAAGTCTTGAATGGCAGGAAGATGTCAGAAAGATGGAAGAAGTAACTCTGAGGAAAATAGCGGCCTGCGGTTTTTTAACAAAGGCTTTTTACTATTCTGCGTAATTACATGGATCGTCTTTGAGGTGTATTGTAGGGCCTGTAGGACAAATCAGCACTGTACATGGTCGTACTCTACACCATATCCTAGAGATGGGAGAAGAACATAAGAAGTTGGTATATTTAGAAGTTGGCATTTTAAAGGGAAGCTGAAATACTTAGGCACTCAGCTTCTGCTGAATACAAGTGAGAAGTGGTTATACAATTGCAGTGTCTTATTGCGTAGGGAACCAATTCTTGGGAATATCCCTCTTACGTAATTTCATATACGCCTCAGTGATGCTTATAACAACCTTTAGAAGGGAACTGTGGCAGAAAAGCTGCAAATTTTAATTTAAAGAACTGTAAAATACATATCACAGAAAGTTAAGTGTCTGTGCGTTGCCTAACAGAATTGATTATGCTTTCATACTTTAGAGCTGTTCTTTGCTTTGAGAAGGTAAATGGAAATAAGGGAGAATCTGATAGAGGCTATGTCATTGCATCTTTGTGATTACCCTTCTTTATGCTGTCATGATTTTTAACAAACACTTTATACTCATGACATTTAGTTTCTGTGATAGAACTTTTTTCCTTCTGTGAATGTGCAACGGCTGATAAACTTGCTTCAGGACAATAAGAGTGAATGCAATTTAAAACCGTTTTTGGCTTCTGTATTATACAGCTAATAGTAGTTGCTATGTAGAAGTTTTAAATTATTACATAATAATTAGTGATTTGCTGAGTGCCCTGGGACTCCAGGTGTGTCAGATGTGAGCAGAATGTTTCACATAATAACCTGTGGGTTTTAGCCATATACACACATATGCAAAATTCCATACTTAGTCGTAGTATGTATAGTAGTGGGTAAACTGGGGAACGGCTATTATTCAAGGACTGCATCCTCACAAGAGTGAGTTGTATGCCCGCTAAAGCGTGGTGTTTTGATACCCTGATTTCTCTTGTCGAATTCCTCTTTCAGAAAATTTGAGCGTTAAACACCAATTATCTTGGTTTATACCGGTTTAAATTGGCTACTGAAATCCCGTTCTAAGTGTTTTTCTTCTTGTTCACTTACTGAGTTTTTGGAAAAAAAAATATATTAGCAGCCTTGGAATGAAAGCACTTTATTGAATAAGTATGGTCTTAACGAGCTGCAATACAAACTGCTTTTGCTGGTTTCATAGAGCAGCTCATTATTAAGGGCTGCTTTATGTTTTTTCAAGTGATTTGATGCTTTTTTATGATACGTTGTTCACTGGAAGCTGGCGGGAGACTTCTGTTTCACTTCTTGTAAGTCACAGAATCATTGTAGTGATATAATGATGATGATGTTCAGTTATGACTAGGCTGTCACTCGTAACAGTTCAAATCCATCCAGTCTATTGATGTTTCAGGTGGAAGCAGGTGCCCTCCCTCAAACTGAATTGTTATCTAGCATTGCAGTATGCTGCTAAGCTGTTAGATTTGGTTTCTTTTTGGGGGATGCTCTTAGCTCCTTTTAAAGCACCTGGGAACTGTCTAGTGTGAAAGGTTGAAGAATGAAAAGTGGCTACAATATTTCTGAGCTTCTGTTTGAAGGCTAGTGGGGCAAGAACGTAAAGGAATAAAGACACCGTCACTAGATTGTCTTCTGTGGCTGTATGTTGGCTTTCTAAAAGTTGAAGATGAATTTAGGGAATGAGACCATGAAAACTATATTTGAAGGGTTAAATACTTTGTTAATTTTCAGAGGCATCAGTTTCATTGGGAATTACATCTCTGTAGAATAGAGTAGTATTTTAAAATAAAATTCCTGGGGTAATATTGTGAATAGCATACCAGAAAGTGGTATGCTTTCTGCTTTACACATTAAGCCTGTCTCTGTGCATATTAAGCTTCTCTGCTTTGCTCTTTTTTTTCAGTGCTCTTTCATGTGCATTTTCTGATTTGTTTCGCCCTCCCCTTTTTTCTCCTAAGGACGTATACAGTATGATTCATTTTACGCTAATAGAATAATCCTTTATATTTCCTTAGGAATTTGAAGAATATAACAGAAGGTTGAATGAAGTGTCTAAGAGAGTCCGTATTCCACTGCCAGTCTCAAATATTCTGTGGGAGCACTGCATACGCTTGGCCAACAGAACTCTCGTAGAAGGGTAAGTAGATCATGAAAGCCTCAATCTTGGGTAAACGTCTTTAATGACAACGTTAATTTCATGGAATTAAAGGTTCTAATTTTGCAAGGTACTGTATACTGGCAAGCTTTTGAGCTTTCAGGGAGCCAAATGATATCAAGACGTAACGCAGCCATCAGAATTTTATTTCACTGACTATGTGACAGCATGAAGCCTGAAGTGAATAAATAGTCTTGTACCTAGATACTACTAAAGACTGACATTGTCTCAGTATTTTACTGAAGCATTCAAAAAAACATAGTTCTCTTTCAAAGAAACTTCTACCTTTAAATTTTCCAACAGAGCAATAAGAAGGATGAAGTGTAATTGTCAACATCTCTGTGGTCATGCCTTTTGTCTTTCCCAGGAAGAAAGAGTGACCAACTCTTAATAGTTATGTTAGAGTAGCCGTGGAACAGGAGTTCTCCAGTCTGGTCAGGAGCAGCGACGTGTTCTAGTTGGTTTGGTAAACAGGGACTTGAGCACCTTGGTTAAGAACTGCTCTATCTAGCTCACTCTTTCCTCTTAATGAATATTCCAGTCTTTTCAGAGTCAACATTGTAGTCTGAAGCTTACCTTGTAAAACTGCATTTATTCTTCTGTTCTTGTCCCTTTGTTACCTGTCCTGACTCTCATCACACCTTCTTTTGCATTATAATCCTCTCATCTTTCCATGTTTCTTTCCTGAGTACTTCTACTCAGTGCACTCCCTACTACTTATTTCACTTCTTTCTATCCCATTCTTCTGCTGCCAGTTCAAATCAGGACCCCAGTAACATCCTCCTCCTCCATCTGTTGGCTGTCTGTTAGGGACTCTCAGCTTCCACTGCTTCGTTTTCAACCTCGTGCCAGTTTCTCTTCCTGCCCTCCTCTTGCAGTCTCTGAGGTACAAGTTTCATCTTTGGGGAGGTCAGACCCAACTGTGACTTCCTGCTAGCTTTTGAATTCCTTTTGAACTATCCTGCCTTTTGAAATCTTTTCTAATTTTCTGTCATGTCTCAAATCAAAAGAATTAGAACAAAAGGAATTGTTGGCTGCATGTCTATTTCAGCTCTCTGTCTCCCTTTCAACGTTTTTCCCTCTTCTTTTGAATAGCAAGGCATCTGGTTTTTTTTGTTTCTGTGTGTGCGTGTGTATTCTCTTTCTCTCTCGTGCTCTGTCGCTCACTCGCTCCCTGTCACTCGCTCACTTGCTCTCTGCTCCCCACCCTCCGCCATTTTCTTCCAAAGGGCTAATATCATTGTGGCAACTAACCTCCTCTACCTCAGCCCTTGTATCTGTTTTAGACTTCTTTGGGACTTCAGTGTTCACAAACCACTTAAATTCTTAGATGTGAGGTTCCTCATTCATGTCGTCTTCTGCCGTGCAGTTTTGATTCATACTTAGCACTTACTGTGAAACATGCGGCTCTACCTTTACCTAAGCATTCCCCTGATTGCTAAGAGAGGACTGGGAATGGCTTGCTGACGTGATCTGTCCTATACCCTTTTTCACAGTGTAAGGAGTACTCCTCATCATCTCGTCCTGAATGTCTGCCTGTAACTTCTCATTCTTATCCAGTTCTTTTACCACGGGGGAAGGGAGGGAAGGGGTTTTGAACACTTGGCTTGATAGGAAGTACCTTACTATCTTCCTTTCATCTCCAAATTTCATGAAACCATGAAATTAAAAGCCATAATAAGGAATTTCTCCTCTAGTCGGACAGTCACCTGAAATTGGTCTCATTAAGCTCTTCACTGAGTGAAGACTCATCTTCAGTACAGTCAGCCGTATCCTTAAATTTGTTTTCCTTCCCTTTTCTCCTTTTTCTCTTTTCTCTATTTTCTGTCTGGCTTCTTGGAATGCTTCTTCAGTATGTCCTATGAGGATCATTATCCAACCTTCTGTGGAGCTCCAGAAGGCTCGTCCCTTGGTCCCTCTCTCTTTTAGGCTGTGTTATTTCTGCATTCTACAAGTTTTGCTTTCTACAAATGCGAAATCAGCATCCATCTCACTGTGACTACCTTGCATAACTAACATTTCTGTCTGATCAGCATCCTAATAGATTTCTAGCTATCATATCCAGAACAATAGGGTCGAAAGATGGTTTTGAAACCTCTGCTCAGCCCCTCTTAGCGCAGTAATATATCAATATAAAGTTCTTCTGCCTCCTGCTTTTCTCTTAGTGTAATCAGTGTTTCAGATCACCTGATTCTTTGCATCCATCTACAAATTCTTTCTGCATACCAGTTCTAAGGATGCAATTTTCCATTATTCCTAACCTGATCCCAATAATTATTAAGCCTAATAATTGTGGGACTGTACAGTAATTAGGGTCAACTTCATAAACAAATGGAGGACTAATCTTGCTCTTGATTTGATGCATGGGAAGACTGGAAATGCTGGGACAGGATTATCACTTTGGACGGCAGCCAGTGGGTGGACTGGGTTAAATCTGTCAAGATACTGTGGCCCAAACCCAAGGTTTTTTATTCTCCTCCCACAGCTGAGATTGGTACTATGTGATTTTATTGCAGCCTCTTTGCCTGTTGATCTTGACAAATGCCATCTCTTATCCATTTCAGAATCTTCAAAGATTGTTTTCCTCATTTGTTGCCTATCACCTCACTGTAATCCTTCCTGGTATCACCGTCCTCTAAGCTCAGCTACAGTCTCCTCTTGTTTGAACTCAAACCTATCACCCACCTGTCTGGTGGGTGATACCCTCAACTGGTATTAAAACATTATCCTTTGTCAGTGATTAGCCCGTGCTGCCATCGTTTATCCTCTGGTGGCTGTGTGTGTTTTTAAACAGATATCTTTGTGCCTTTCTCTTACACTTCCACTGTTGTTTCAGCAAGCGCTTGGTGACCATTCCTAAAGCTGCCATGTTACCTTTCAGTTCTCTGTGATGAGGATCAGTTCACTAATGCTACTGCCTAATGTACTGTTCAGTGCTGTCTTTGTTTCCTTTAATCCACTTCTGTTTGTAAGTTCTTCAATGTAGGGGTGTGTGTGGGTGTGGTTTTTTTTTTTTTTTTTTTTTTTAAGTATCCCACTGGGTACAGTGGGGTCCTGTTCTATGAGTGGGGCTAAAAGGTGTTATACTCATGTAATTAGTAACTTTGCAGCGGACATACTAAGAGGAGTTCTTGTCTGCTTTTAATTTAAAACCATAATTATGTTCCTCTGAATACTGGAAGGACTAAGTTAAACAGCTTTGAAGAAGGAGATTGGTTTTCATTTCCTTCTGGTTGTTACTTTCCAATTCATTCCTCTTTTCAGTTATGCCAATGTTAAGAAGTGCAGCAATGAAGGACGTGCCTTGATGCAACTGGACTTTCAGCAATTCTTAATGAAACTAGAAAAGTTAACAGACATTAGGCCTATTCCAGATAAAGAATTTGTGGAGACCTACATTAAAGCGTACTACCTAACAGAAAATGACATGGAACGCTGGATCAAAGAACATAGGGTAAGAGTTGACATTTCATTCTTTTCTTCTCTATCAGGGAGATTCACCATCATGGTAATAATTCTATATGATCAGTACTTGCATGTGTTCAGAATTAATACGTTCATATATATGTGTATATTCATATGATGTAATAACCTCTATATGGGATGCAGTATGAATATATATTTGTGTTTATATATATGCTATGTTTATTATCAGTTGAAGTATGTATACGTACTGATTCAAGATCGGATAATGGGGAGGATGAGCGAGGCAAGTGAAATTTACCTCCTATATCAAAAAACCTAGAGAACTAGAGCTGTGTCACCTGGGAGATTAAGACGCAATGTGCTATGCCACTTTATTTTCCCCTAGTAAACGCATAATTTAATATAAATAAACAAATTTGTCCCTATAGTCTTTACACTTGGGAACTTTTTACCGGAAATCTTTAAACTGCTTCTCCTATTTATTAATACACATATATAAATAAAAGCAGGAAACCAGTAAAATACCTTTTTCAAGCCTTCAGCAGTAGCAGTATGGATTAGGGCAATGGCAGACAAAAATGGGATTTGAGCCAGCTCAAGCCTAGGCTACGTGAATGAATTGGTCTATTACAAATGAAACGCTTCTGATCCTCAGATGAGAGCTAAATTTATCATTCTTTCGTATGTCTGCCTTAAGTCCCTGGCCTTTTGTTTGTACATAGCTGCAAGACAGTGCAGCTGGCAGCTGTTTGTGCTTTGAGCTTTGCCTTTGTTTCTCTCTTTGCAACCTGATACTACCAGTGTGGTTTCTACTATATGCCTGTAACTTAACTGACGAGTATCAAGAAAGTCTGAGAATTTAGCAAGCTAATAGTTTCTCACTTTTTTAAATAAAGACCTAAAGGTTTAGAAAGGGATCTGTAGTTAGCAGGTTTGTCAGAATTAAGAACAGGCTTCACAGCTAGTTCCTTAAGAAAAGGACTAAAAGGAAAATTTAAACTTATTTATCGTTTCTGGATTCAGGCCATATCCCATTAGTTTGAGAAAGACAGAGTTCCTTCGAGGAAGATGCACCTTGCATACAGCTTCTGGCTTTAGTGAAAATAGGCCATATGGAACTCCCTGCACAAAGAAATCCTATGTAGGAAAACCGCTTATCTACCCAATATTCTGTGAAGGGCCAGAGCCAAAGACTACTTCCTTCCCTTCCTTAGGGCGCACCTCTCTGGTCAGCAAGGATAAAGGAGGCAGATAAAGGACAAGACACTGGAAGGCTATGTACTGTAAGCTCTGTTTCATAGCCTAGGCACAGACCCAAGCTTGCATCTAAATTAACGCTGAGGTTAAAACAGCAAGGTGAGCGAGGAGATGCCTACAGCGATATATGCAGCTGTTAAGGGTAGTGATTTGATAACCTTCATTGCCAGGGAAATTATAGGCTGAAGATAAATTTAAGGTCTGACAGATCATGGCTGGTCTGTGCTGTGGGGAGTGTGATCTCATCTGAGCAATCCACTAACAACGGTGCATTACAGACCGAGCCTGCAGTGGAAGGTGGACAGACTTGGTGGTCCACTAAGACTTCCTCATCTTTAATTCTGGATTCAGTAAGAATCCAGGATTTTCTCAGAATGCCTCTATGTGGTATTTTAAGACATTGTTTTTGACCTTGAAGATATTTCTGTTGTCAGATATTTAGTCATATACAATCTTAAGAGTTAGTTCAAATCACTCAGCAACTTAACTCTTCAGACACCGTCCCCATAAAGGCTGATCCTGTACTCACGTGAATTAACAAGCCAAAAATCATCACTTGAGTATGCATAATCTGGTTTGCGCTGTGTGAGCAGATACAGTATTCTAGTCAGATACCATCAGTGCATCAGGTGTGTTAGTTTGGACAAATGTGTTCTGGAGGATGAAGCTAGTACAATATGACTCAAATGAAGGAAGTTCCCATGTGATAATGAAAAATTTTTCCGTAATTCCATCATACAGCAAAGAAATTTGCCAGTTGGGTCATTCTGGTTATTTGGTTAGTTCATATACCAGGAAGCATTTAAAAATACGTGAGTGGAATGAGCATAAGGAATACATCCATAAATGAGTACACCAAATACTGCTAAAAAATGGAGACGCAAAAACAATCTGAAGTAGTTGGGCCAAATTTCATACGGTGAGCCTCCATCCTTCAGTGAAATTGAAAATATTTGCATGCTATTTGGAATATGCCAAAGTGCACAACCTTATCAGGAAGTATGGTTTGAAATTAGGCCGTGAAGTTTTATTTTGCTGTTAGGAGTGATTTCCTGAAGCTAAGTCGTAAGGCCCAGTGGATAAAAGAATCATTGCTTTTACTTCCTTCATTCAGTAATACTGATTCAGGATGAATATTGCTATCTGAGATAAGTCTTTATGTTTTGAAAGCATTTAGCATGCTTTCACTCTGCTGTAATCTTACAGTAATTGTAAGACACTGTAAGTAGTAGTCACACACTGTTGCAGCTGCCACGTTGTTAAAATGGCAAGTCTGTTAAAATGGAGCATTTTGAAATCTGGATTTTTTGGATTACTTCAAACATAGCTAGAAATGGGTGGAAGAAATGCTTCCTTCATACAGTTTTCCTTGTTAGCCTGGAGCCGTGAAAGCGATTATGAGCTGTAGTTTGGTGACCTACATTGAAAACTCTTGTTTAAACCTACTGGTGGAAGCAACGTTTTGATAGTATGTAGAGAGGGTAGTACTGGCAAATGTGGTGTTTTTACAGATGTTAAGAGTTCTTCTGTTAACATTTTTACCATTTTTTTCCTCCTTTATCATGTAGTGAAATTAATGTTGTTTAAAGATTCTGTGGACAGAAGTATTTAGAAGCTTATTGGAAATGAGAAGTCAAAATAAAGATCATCAACTTTTGTCCTGGTTTGTTTAGAAGAATGATTTTTGTGTTGAAAGCTTATCTCATTTGCATATATATTTCCCACCACACCTCCCAAGGAATGGAAAATACATTAAAAATGGATTTAGATATGCCAGCTTTCACAGAACTGCTTTCTGTGAACGTAGTCCAACAGTACTGAAGTTGTAAGCATTTTCCACTATAACCTGCCATGTAGCCTGAATCTAAAATACTGCTTTGTCTCTGCCTGACTAAGCTATGAAAACTATCCAGGCCTGGCTTAGCTACCATTTTAAATCTTGCTCTAGGTACTGACTACTTCTATCAGTTGAGAAGTCCATGGTGTGTATGCCTGTGCTTGTTTTTTAAATTTGTACTTTTGTCTGGTATTTTTATTCTGTTTGCCATAATGCAATCTGCTTTTATTTGGCCAGGAATATTCCACTAAGCAGTTGACCAATCTGGTGAATGTTTGTCTGGGATCCCACATCAACAAAAAGGCAAGACAGAAGCTGCTAGCTGCTATTGATGACATAGACAGACCTAAAAGATAACTGGAGGAGGTTACTTTCCTTGTGGCTTGAACCCTTTTCTGTTAACATGAGCATGCAAACATATCTCTCATGGACTAAAGATAGCTTTCTCTTTAAAAAAAAAAAAAAAAGAAAAAAAAAGAAAAAAAAAGAAAAAAGAAAAAAAAAAAACCAACATTGTGCATGACCTTTCTTACCAGCATTGGAGACACTCTGATTTGGCATAATGTTCTAAAATATGACTTTTTAACCTATAGAATTTTTTTTCTGTTGTATTTCTTGTTTCTTTTGTTACTTGCCCTTAGTAAAGGGTTGCTCTTCATGTATCATTGGTGAGCTGTATATTTTGCAGAACTGTATACTGTAAGTAAATCAAAATCAGAGAAACACATTGACTTAATATATAGTTGATGCCCTTTTTAATAAAAGGGCTACTTGAAAATGTGATGTTTTTTTCTTCCCTGCTTTCATCGTTAGAATTTGTGCTTTATTATTGATCGACATAAAGTGAAAGAAAATGTACAATATCTTTGGATGATGAATCTTGCATGTGGGTTAAGAGTGCACTTCAGCTACGTATTCTCATGTTAAAGCCTCTCATCTTCATATGTATTTTAAAATGTATATGTTTACTTCAGAATTAATTTAGTCATATCAAAATAATTGAGTTCAGATTATAAGCAGGTAATAAATACTGTACTCTAATATGATTGGATTTGTGAGAATTTATTTGCCTAATTCAACAATGCAAAGTGTCGTTTACATGAAAATGAGTACTGTTCTTTTATATCACTTTCTTTTTGTCTCCCGGCCAGCGGCCAGTCTTCCTTATTCCTAGGTGATAATGCCCGTGAATAGGAATGATGACCTTTGGCTTATATTTTGGACTGGTACCAAGATAATCTTACTATTTTCTGCTCTTCTGTAGACTTCCTGAGTGATCCTCAGTGAATCAAAATTACCTAGCTGGGGATTTGTCCTAGAAGGATCACTGACTCCACTGAAGTTTTCAGGTCTGACTTCAGCTGAAGTCATCTGCCGTTCAAGTACCTTTTTACTTTCTTCACACAGCTGGTTTCCAAAAGGTACTTGGAGACTGGTCAGATACTGTGGTGGCAGAACCAGAAAAACTCCCAAAGCAGTCTGAACTAACTAGAGCAAAGACCTCAATATTTATTAAGACTTTTTATAAATTCTCTCAAGAGCTGTTCCGTCTCTCTCTTTTTTTTTTTTCCAATCAAGTAATGTTTCAGCTTCCTTATGACGTACTAGAATTTTTGCAGTTCTCTCAGAACGTTTAAAAGGGAACGTGCTAGCAATGAGCTAATAGGTATATAGTACAAAATAAGCGTAGCTTACAAAATGAAATTTTCAGTTTCGGGTTTGTACTTACCCATAAACCTTTAATTTGAATAGAAGAGCATCAGTACTCGCTGAAGGACGGCAGTACCCAGTGACAGAAAAATGCCTCAGGGAATCATAGTTATTTCTCTTTTCTGTGGTTTAATTTCCTCTTCAGAAGTAAAGAGAACTGAGCATCAGTGTGTGCGAGTTCAGTGAAAGCCTATGTACAATTTTTGGAAGAGTGACAAAATTTACATTTTAAATATTGACTAGGTGGTGTTCAGCTCCCTTGTTCATCCCTATCTGAAAGAAAATAAGATATAAAACAAAACTTGAGTCCATTCTGTACTGACCATATTGTCATTCAGAGTTCCATTTAAAATTTGTTTAGCAGGCTCTTAATGTGTATGGTGAAGCTGAATCACTTCTACCCTAGTTAAAAAGGTGGTTTAAAAAAAAAAAAAAGTGTAATTCATTTTGGAAGTGTGGATGCTTACGTCAGTGGATCTGCCCTAAAGTCAGATCTTGAACAAGTACTTTTGGAAGAAATAGAAATGCGTCAGAGACCATTACTGTAAAATCTCTTTCAGTTTTATTCTCGTGGATTAAATAACAAATTTAAATATCTTTACTGTAGTTCTGTTGAATGAGTACGTGGCTAATCTGTCCTTAACTATTTAGGTTACTGTAATTGAATTGCTTACCTAAAGGTAGGAGCATAAGCATTGATTGGAATGTAGGGTCAAAGAAGGAGACGATCATGAATCATAGCCAGGAGTGTGTTTTTGTTTGGTTGGTTGGTTTGTTTTTAACAGTATATTTGTAATTTGACTTTTTATATTTTTAAGTTATCCCTCAAATGAAAGAACATGTAAGATGCAGTGTTGAACCTGTGGAGCAATTGTTTGAACTCCTTTCTTGTATTGCTCAGCAATGATTATTTTATATATTATTTTGTATTTTATTTGTATTCCTCCGCAATAATTATTTTTTTCCAAAGGAACCTACCCTGCCCAGGATTGGTGGTACCTGCTAAGCTGCGTGAGCTTAAGGGCCTGCATTCTGAGTTCTTACTCGGTACTTACTGACTCTTACTGACTACTGAAACCAAGTTTTGGCTGAATGGAGAATTAGGATTTTGCTAAAGGTCTATTTGATAACTTCAGTCCTCTGGTATGAGAATTCTTCACAAGCCATGAATTCAGCCATCTCTCTCCCTCCTCATTCCTCTATGGAGCAAGAGGCCCCTGTTACACTGCTTTTACTAAAATATGAAGAGAATGTGGCCTAAGGCATCCCCTTATGTTTTAGAGGAGCGTTCTGAAATACCCTAATAAGGGAAGATAACCTCCTTCAGCCTCTGAGGAGGTGGACCAGCACTGCAGAGATGGATAATTCATCTGTCAGTCCTTCTTTAGTCTAATAAAGAATTTGAAAATTCGATTCCCCAGACAATAAGTACTCTGATATTCACTGAACTCAGCTGGAGCATAGATAGTTGAATTTTAAAGTCCCTGTTTAGGCAAAGTGTATACCTGCCCCGATAAGCATACAGCTAGCTTTTTTTTTTTTTTTTTGTACAGTCAACTTCTCTGTCACATATCGTGGTTATGCTGTTGTACAAAGAAGCAGGTGTTGGGACAAAAATGGGATGAAATTTACTGATCAGTGACTGTGACAGTGATGTAAGATTCAAGTCCTTGCTCCAGTGAATTAATTGTTATTGTTATTTATTAGTGTTACTCAAAGCAGAAAGCCATTGACAGGAAAGACAATCTTGAACCAGCACTGATTCAGGTGATGGAATAGTGTGTGTAGCACCCACTTCACCTCTGAAGTTAGTGTTTAATCTGAGTAGGGTGGACCCTCCATGTTGTAGATGAGTAGCTAAGTTTCCACATTATTCACTACTCTAGGGTCTCTTGTTCCTCCGTGTGAGAGAAAGTCTTCCCATGTGTAAAAGAAACTGCTTGGCTTTCTTCTGATCTGGAATGAGAAAACTAGTTTCTGACCAGAACTGCTTAGCAAAGCCTAATCGTGGGGTGTAGATTATTCCTGGAGATTTCCCCCATAAGAACGCTATTCCTTCTTTCTTCCCTGCACCTTTAGGGGAGAAAAGGGGAAGGGTGATCAGTGGCTGATTCAAAGCTGTCAGTGAAAGGTTTGCATCGCCTTTTAATTTTTGTGAATGACAAACGCATTGTGATGCTGAAGATGGGGTTTGTTTAACGCAAAGTGCTGGACATAGTTTATCCTCTTGACCTCCTGCCTTGGGACATAAATTATAAAGATTCTTTTCTCTTCCTCTGTTAAGTTTAAGGTTTTTACTTCCAAGAACTGGCCCATGGTTAATGCTTATGACATTTCTGTATTGCAAGCTGTACTTTGTTAACTTGAGTCTTGAATAACGCCAGTGGAGTGGGGAGTGGGGGTGGGGAATTAATGGATAAATACTACTGTCTCTTACCGAAATGCATTGTCAGCAGGCACCTGTTATATTACGAATGATTCAAACAGAGATGGTGAAAAAATGCGGATTTATTGTGTGTAGGTGATGGTATCTATTTTATTTATAACCACCGCTTGAAACAGCATAGCATTAAAAACTAAACATTGCATCAGACACTTTGATTATGGTGCAAGTATGGAAATAACGCCATCTGTAAACCACAATGTTTTCCTTCTTGCTGGCTATTTAAGGATAATTCCGAAGGTGGTGTTTTTGCAGTGCCAGAGCTGTTTCTCATCACAGTGGCAACACAGTTTTAAGGACCTGCTCTTCCATGAGATCCCAAAATGTGATGTGGAGCAGCGTCTTTGAACTATACCTGAGACATCTGAGAAAAAAATTGTTTTCTTTTTTAATAGAAATTAGATCAGTAATATGACATATGATAAAGTACACATCTGAGAGGATGAGTAACCTCCTCTTTTTATTATGTGGTGGATACCATGGCTAAATTGTAATTAGGCAGGGTATTCTGTCCTCTCCCTGAGGCTGGATAGAATACATACCTACATACATACATAAGTTAAACTAAAAATAGTTGAATGTGAACTAAACTTGAATCTATTTGGTTGTCCTGAAAAGAAGATGCCTCCAGTAGGCCCTCAGCTGGACTTTTTTTGGTCTGAAGCTTTTGATCTGTATGCATGTGTGAATGCTACTAGAAAGAAAACTTCTAGAGCAGAGATGTATACATGTATATATTGCATCTGTAGATTTTCTTGCACGGATTTCAATATTGTAGAGTGTGAAACTGGCAGACACCTGCCTAAACTTGTTTTGAGCTTTGAAAAACAAAATACATGACCACGGTGAAGATCGGGGAGAAGAGATGCAATGAAGTGCCTCTTCTCACTCGGCACAAAATTAAGAGATTATCAGATGTGCAAAATGACTTAAGGTATTTCTAAAGATTTTTTTATATGGTAAATTCAAGTTCATCCTTGTATTTATCTCCTGTCCTTAATCTATGTGCATTTTTGTTCATAAATACCACTATTCATAAGTTAAAAAAAAAAAAACAACACGTGCATCGTATTTCAGTGAAGAATAAAATAGAAATATCACTGCAGTCTTAAAATATAATGGATGCTTGTATAAGAACAAAATTGAGAGAGGATTATCCAGTAGGCTGATCTCCTGAGTGCTGCAGAACTTAATGTAAAATATGCACCGTAAAAACTATTCCCTTTGAAATTCATGCATGTATTATAATGTAAATACATACACACACAGAGCACTGTATGTAGTTTGACACTGAACATGAGGGCGATGGAAAAATATGGCAGCATTTAACAGTAAGCAACTAATTGCTGGTTTCTCTGGGACCACTTAGGTTACTAACTTGATATTTAAAGCTGCGTTGTTAACTGCAGAGGTGTTTCATTGTGCGAGTAGCTGATGTCCGGTGATGACAGGATCATAACCAAGGTCTGAACTGAGAACTTGGTTTTCATATTAGTATTTATGTGAGCTGTTATACTGCTCCCACTGCTGCTGAATGTGGCTGCCTCTTCCGTGTGTGTTGTGTATCAAGTGCATTGTGTAAGCCTATTGGAGAGAAGCTCCAAACTGCTGAAAATAGTGCAGGTATCTGATTAGATGCTGTTGATGGCGCATAAGAATGTTCATGGTCTTAAGTGGAGATCACAGATAGCTGCACTTGCTGTCCTACTTGCTTGGGGAAATACCTACTCCAAATACATGAAACCTGGGGGTCAGAGGACAGGCAGAACCGGATTGAATGGGTGCAGTATATCACTATGATTAATACGCCTCTCGCTCTGGAATAGATCGCTGTTCTCTTGAAACATAAAACCTCAGATGTTAGAATTGTCGTTGTTCATTGGATGAG